CATTTGCCAATCCAGCCATTATAGCGACGCATGCAAGATTCGAGTAAAATAGTAAGAAATAAAATATAAGCTGCCAGTCAGCCACTCACGTGTCTCACTCACGTGTTCAAATGCTTTATTTGTTGGTGATGATACTTTAACAATTTTGAATTTTAAAATCCGAAAGATAGAGATACATATCTATCACAAAGTGTTGAAGCTGTTTAAAGCTCATTTGCTTACTATATCTTGAGTGGAACAAGTCGCAAAAATAAATTTAAATATTTTGTCTTCGTATAATAAGGAAAGTCCTAAAATCGTCATATGATTTATTTACAATTCATATTTACAATCATATATTGAAATATAAATTAATATTTTTGTTTACTAGGCGTTGTCCGCACCATACAAGCTCTCTTCAATCCTTAGGGATAATGCCTAAAGAGGGTCACAGGGCTCTTGTGTCCTCATCAGGATGAGGATCTTGATCCTCGTCGTATAAATTTTGAAACGATGTAAGTTTCACTATATTTTATATGATATTTTCTACAATTTCTTTTGAATATTTATTATCCTTTAATATATTGTACTAACTGATTTTTTAACATTTTAGATGAAAATATTCATACATTGTTGGCTTTTTACCCGACTGCGCGATGCAAAGGAGAGTAACGTATTTACCAGTCTATGTATCTCTCTCTCTCTCTCTGTGGGCATGGGCGTGGGCGCAGGCGTGGGCGTGTGCGTGTGCGTGTGCGTGTGCGTGTGCATGTGCGTGTGCATGTGCGTGTGTGTGTGCGTCTTGATAACGCGAGTATCATCTGTACAGATAAATAAAATTGAAGTGCCTGTTTGTATTGTCAAAATAACAGCGTTTTACCAAATGCATAATATGAAATTATATACAGTACTTATAACAAAAACACATTTTCCTAATTTTTTGTCTATCTGTCTGTTTGTACCGGATAATCTCTGAAACGACTGGACTATAATGCACTTATGATAACTTTTAGTCTTTTAGTCAAAGGAGAAACTTTGAGGTAAAGACCAGACTGTCGCTACTGTTGCATGCAACTGTTGATGTGTATCCTCTAAGTTTCCTAGCGTAACTTATACTATACTAGCTGAACCCGCAGCTTTGCTCGCACTAAAACTACAAAAAAACTCTAAAGAAGTAAATTTCATACAAACTTTCATCCCCTATTTTACCCCTTTATGGGATGAATTCCGAAAAATGCTAAAACGTATTAATTTAATTGTATTGAAGTGCATTAGTACCAAATTTTAAGTAATTCTGATCATAAATATTTTTTGGGTTGTATTATAACGTGTGTTCCCGAGGGAATGAAACTATCTCCCGCGGTAAAAAGTCTATGTCACTTTACAGCCATCCAACTATCTCCACACAAAAAATTACGTCAATCCGTCACTCCGTTTCGACGTGAAAGAAAGACAAACAAATACACAAACACATTTTCACATGTATAATATTGGTACTATATTATATCTGAAAGACCGAGCTGGAATTAGGTTGTAGCTTTAAGTATTAGTATAGGCTTCTGCTTATTTGTAATGTTTATGTGTAAGCATATTAAAGTTAGGATTAAATTAAAATCAAAGTTGGCAAAATTGCCGGTTACCAAAAGTACTTATTATATATAACACTAAAAACCATAAAAATACTCTAAAAAGGTAGATTTAATACAAAATTGAATCCCCTATTTTATCCTTTATGGGATGAATTTCGAAAAATGCTTAAACACGTATTTATTTAATTGTATTGAAGAGCATTATTACCATGTTCTAAGTAATTCTAATCATAAATATTTTTTTGGGTTGTATTATAACATGTTTTCCCATAGGAAAGAGATCATCTCCCTCGGTAAAAAGTAGCCTATGTCACTCCAACTATCGCCTCACAAAAAATCACGCCAATCCGTTACTCCGTTTCGACATGAAAGAAGGACAGACAAACAAACAAACACACTTTCACATTTATAATATTAGGATGGATATTATAATAAAAGCATAATATTAAGACAAAATATATTTAAAAATTGGATGGAAATGATATATTTTTATCTAATAGACAGAATAAAATATAAATGTTTCTTTCCAATGTAATTGATACCAAAAAAATCTAGGCGTTGCAGAATTCTTGAACGAATTTGCAATGTAACGAAGCGCAAATTCTTGTGTATTGTATAAGTATCCCTTCGTTTTTGAACTAAAAATTATTACAATTCTAGTTAACTAGTAGGTAACTCACTCAACTCTCACTGTTGTTACCGGGAGACTGAGAAGAGAGGCTAGAGGCTACAATGCTTTAAGATATGTATATATCTAATAGATAAATTTATGATAATATATAAACTTTAATTATACTCGTAGTTGAATAAAATAAAAATATTTTTTTGAAGTATTTATACATATCGAAATAGATTTACTTTTCTTTGCATCGGTTGGCACCAACTTCGAAAATATTTGATTAGGTAAATTTAAACCCCCGTTCAGTTATTTTTTACTTTTTTTACTGTCTAAGAAATCGGTGAACATACTTAACAAAACATACATATAAACGAACTTAGGACCCCCTTTGGAAGTCGGTTAAAAATGTTTAAGCGCTTATCCTTAAGACACTATATTATCTAAGACACTGTCAGCAAATATTTTAATGCATTTTGTAAAGAAATACATAATATTATTTATAGAATAAATAATAATAATTTTATTTATACATAAATATGTTGGGACATTAACACAACACCATCTAGTTCCATGGTAAGCTACTAGGCCTGTGTTATGGATACCAGATATTTGATACACTACACGTATATAACTTTAATACGTACATATTATAAATATGAACACCCACAACTGGAGTACCAATGTTCGTGCTCATCACAAAAATGCCCCCCGTGGGACACAAACCTGCGACCGCTGACAAAGCAAATAGGGTAAACTGAGCCAAACGGGTCGTCAATCCTATATTTCCTATATTAATATGGAAAACGACTAAGAAATTCAGGTTTTTAGTGTCATATTCACATGAAAATAATAAAAAGTTAAGCCATATTAGGTTACTAGTTTTATTTGTACCGATCATATACCATATAATACATATACAGGATGTCCGGTAAGTAATGAATAACCCCGCAGATACTAGTGGGCACCTCAACCACTCAGAAAAAAATAAAATAAGAAATATATCTGCAGCAGCCTAGAAAAAGAATACTTTTTTTTAAAAGTATGAAATTTGATACTTTCATTCACATTATGAGTACTATGGCTACAAAATCAATAACTAATTGATTTTCTCCTGGAAATAATCGTGAACGTTTGTTTGGCTTTGCCATCGCGCATTACAAAATGTTTCTAGCTGTCAGTATTTTTTATTTTTAAAATAAAAAATAGTTAATTTTATTATTTTTATAATAAACTAGCGTGCTTTCCCATATAAACTTTCATTCCCATTTTCACCCCCTTAAGGGATAATTTCCGGGATAAATAGTATCCTATATCCTTCCCAGGGTCTCAAACTATCTTCTTACCAAATTTCATCTAAATCGGTCCAGCCGTTCACGCGTGATGGCGTGACCAAGGGAAATAGGGATTCATTTTTATATATATAATATAGATTAAAAAATTAAAAATTCAAGTTTTTATTTTTAAGTTAACTTATGGAAACTTTCTTTACATCTATCCCTATTCCCCTATTCTATAATTTATTTCTCTTACAATAAGAAACCCATTGATAATTAATGTACCCACGCACCAGATAGTAAATTATTCAAGGTTAGTTACCTAAGCTTGAGGCTCGTCCGAATTAAACACAACAGAACAGAATTAATAATTCAATTTTTTTATTACAAGTGATGAAGTGAGTGTATCTGTAATAAATATAAAAAAATTTGAAATTCATCCTTCCGGAATGTAAATAGCAATAATTCAGTAATTTGACAACAAAAAATTGAGTTTACCACTGATTTAGAAACTGCGTAAAGAAGCACCTTTTTTAAGCTATTGGCCACCCTGATCACTATACGTTTTTTTTATACCACAGATGCTCAAACTTCGTCATTGAAAAATTGAAATATCATTTTTTTATTTTTTAGGTTTTAAAAATTGGTTATTAATAAATTTGCAGTCATAGTACTCAATAATGTGAACGGAGGTATTAAATTTCATACTTTTAAAACAAAGTATTTTTTTCCAGGCTGCTGCAGATATATTTTTTATTTTACTTTTTTCCTGAGTGGTCGAGGTGCCCCCCACTAGTATCTGTCTATATCTTTATCCATTACTTACCGGACAGCCTGTATAAAATCACTGAAAGTCTAATTAATTCACACGAAGGGTTCCGTACCATCATACATTTACATATGTTTTATTAATATGACTTTTACTCTATGTTTGTAGTGTATTAACTTGGATGATCGATTACGAAAGTAAAAAAAAAATGTTTCTTGTATTTTTATTAATTATTGTTATAGTGGCAATAGAAACACATACTCTTTGAAAATTTCAACTCTATTTAATATGGTTCATGAGATACAGCCCTCTGACAGACGGACAGACGAACGGACAGCAGAGGCTTAGTAATAGCACAGATCATAATATAATACTATACGAGTAGTAATAGGGTTCCATTGGCAAAAACTACATAATAATAAAATCCTATTAAATAAAACAATAAAAAAAAATCCATATTTCTTTATACAAAAAGGAATGTCGAACTGCTTGGATAGGTCAACTTCAAGGTTATGCTATGATTACAATATCATCAAATTAGCTACATAATTTGATTCTGTATATGCAGTACCTACTTCTACACGGAAACATGTTTGCTAAAGCTTCAAACTTACATGTAGTCATTTGAGATTGGTTTTTACAAATAAACGTATTGGACACACGGACCTTGAAATAACATTATACATAAGAGATTTAAATATTATATATTTTGTTTACATAAAACCTTATATTATTGTGTTAAATGTTATATAGTGAAGCAGAAAAACAAAATGGAATCCAGTGTACAAAGTGAAAGTGAATTAACTGATATGAAAGTGAATAATGATACTAATAGAAATGGAAAAATGGGAAATGAAGTTATTCCGAAATCGTTTTCACAGAAGATCAAAAGTTTTCTAAATTTCTTCACTGTTGAACCATTTTTATTTTGTTATATTTTACCCAATATTATTTCGTCTGTAGCTGTTCAGAAGTTAAATATGGAAAAAGCATGTCGTGCTGATCTTAACTACTCTGAAATTATTTGTGCCCAAGCAGTATCTGGAGATTTCGATGACAATATCACAAAAGAAGCATTAGGAGCAGCTCAAAAATTAGTAGCAGATATGACAGCTTGGAGACAACCATTACAGAGTGGAATACCTGCTATAGCAATGCTATTTGTTGGAGCATGGAGTGACAAAACCGGGAATAGAAAATATTTAATGCTTATTCCAATTTTGGGCGAATTGATTTCTGCTGTTGGATTAATTTTTGCGACATATTTTTTCTTAGAATGGCCTTTGTGGGTAACAGCATTAATAGAAGCTTTACCTTCAGCGTTCAGCGGTGGTATTTCAATTGCTCTTATGGGCTCCTACAGTTACATTTCTGATGTCACCACAGTGGAATCTCGAACGTTTAGGATGGGTTGTGTAGCTGTTATTGTTACGTTGGGAATACCACTAGGAGCATCTATAAGTGGAGTTCTTTTAGAACTCGTCGGCTTTTATGGTATATTTGGCATTGGAGCAATTCTATTTACATTTGGATTTATTCATACTTATTTTAGAATACACGATGTAAAAGTTGTTTACACAGAAGGCACTTGTCGACAAAAAATTAAACAGTTTTTCGATCCAAAAAACGCCTGGGATACGCTTTCTCTTCTATTTTTATCTCCTAAAAAGCAGCTCACTCAGATATGGCTTATTGTTTGGGCACATATTGTGGTCATGGGTCCAGTATTTGGTAAGATATCATGTTTTAAAAATACACAAAAAATGATCTTTTAATGAAGTTTATAATGATAAATAATGTGTGACACTTCAAAAATCATATTATTTAACTGTTTCAGGTGAAGCTTCTGTTTTATTTCTATACACATTAAGCAAATTTGGTATGGGTGTGGTAGATTTCAGTCTATTTTCAACGTATTCAGTGCTCATGGGGTTAGCTGGTAAGATTTTTTAAATTACATTTTAGAAGTTCTAATGAAGCATTTATTAATTTATAAAGTTATGTTATTTTATTATTATAAAATATGTGGTTGTTTGTAATTTAAATGTCCTTGCCATTACATCACAAAATGCAGCAATGATATCACCATCATAATATTATGTCTAATAAAAAAAAATAACTGGTTTTAAGATCATTTGGCTTGTTCGTCTTAATTATGCTTACGCATTAGACGAAAATGTCTAAACTTCAGTCTTGTTGCAGTGGAATTAATTTTCTTTATTTAGTTAATATTAATTATTTTAAAAGTTATACTTAAAACTCTTTAGATTTAGGATATCAAAAAGCAAAAGTCATTGAAAACGTCATAAAGATATTAACCAATATAAATAAACCATGAACGAATTAACCACATAAACATACGAAATTCGGGTCTAGCGATGGTTATAAAAATCCACTTAACGATTTTTTAAATAAATATGCCTATTCTACAGACAATTATATAATACTTATGTATATACAGGCTGTTAAGATTATTCGAGTACCTATATGCTTTGCTAATGATCATTCTTTCAAGAACATAAACAATAATTGTTATGTATACCTATATTTGGCGTGTCTAGCAAAGTTTAGATTCGATATTATCAGTTAATTATCATATTATCTATAGTACCTGGGTAACCGAGATTCGCTCGGAGTTTTTGGTTAGAAAGTACAATTTTCTTTTAAAAAAAACTAAAAACTTGAATAAATACAAAAAATATATACCTTTGTATCCGACCGGGATTCGAACCCGAACACTTATTCAATCTTACGCCTTGGCCGCTTGACCATGATGCTTATATAATGAACATCATATTTTGCGTGGAATAATGCAAAAGAAAATCGCATGAAAATTCGAAAACACGCGTTTTCCCAGACATAATCATACAGACATAAACATATCGGGGGCGATAAATCGATTTAGATTGACTAATCTAGATCGATTCATCGCCCCCGCCCCGAATCCCCTTGTATACTAAATTTCATGAAAATCTTTGAAGCCGTTTCCGAGATTCAGATTATATATATATATTTAGGGTGTGCCAAAAAATTACGATATTTTTTTTTCTTCACTCTCACCCCAAAATATCTCAGAAAATGTCCCAACAAAGCTCCTGTTAAAAGCGGAGCTCAAAATTCTAATTCTAAGAGGTTCTCCATCGAACTTTAAGTTTTCCCGTACAAATTGTATGGAACATATGATTTTTAACACTTTTTTGTCCTGCAAACTGTGACGAAAATATTTTTCAAAAAAATGAATGAATGGACCGTTTTTATTATTAGATTTACTACAAAAAGTTCCATTGAGTCGAATTTATATCTTCAATATTTGATTTGTCCGTGTTTTGGCTTTAAAGTTCAAATTTACGGTTTTTTGCATGGGACATTTTTAATTTACTGAAAACCTTTTGGGAATATACTGTTTACATCATAACAACAACATCTGTAACAAGAAAAGCCGTTCCAAACAAGTTGGGAGGAATTTCTAAGAAAATGTTGCAAATGGTCACCAAATTTGAAGCGCTAAGAATTGACTTTATTTTTCATGGTGTGTAATAAATGCTATGCTAGCAGTCTTATAAATCATCTAATTATTACCCAAGTATTTTATATATAAAAATCAGCTTTTATACTATAACGTAAGTAGAATTATTATTTCATGAAAAGGGTGTCTGGCAAGGGTTTGCCACGATGTTAAGTGTCTGGCATTGAATGACGTGATTTTTAATAATATTCTGAAGGTAGTACCAAAAAATCACACTTTATTATTTGACGAATTTAGATCGGTATTTTACACACATTTGGTACTAAAGGTGTGTTGTACCTGCCAAAGCCACCATAGCCTGAACTTCATAATGGTTCATCGTTCTTATCTGTGTTGGGAGCATGCGCTGACAAACTTTCAGGTTTTATAAAATGACGAAGGTCTGGCGTTTACAGGCTCTTAGGCCATAAGTTGCGAAATTGGTTATTAAACGTCATCTTGTCTATGAGGGCAGAAAAGATACATCACATGTTCTATACTCTATTTCTATATACAAGGAAAAAAACGTGAAACCATAATTAAAATTATAAAAAAATATAATACCTAAATTAAATAAAATATTATTTGTTATTTCAGGAACGGCTATTGCTGTCTCAGTATTAAGCAAAATCCTTAAAATGCATGATGCTCTTCTTGGGGTAATAGCGACTTCGTGCAGAGTCGTATCAAGCTTCGTGTACGGACTCGCACCTACAAAGACGTGGTTCTTCACAGGCCCTGTTTTTGATTTTTTTGGAAATTCCGGTTCAACAGTAGTCAGATCTTTAGGCACCAAAGTCGTCGCTCCTAATGAAGTTGGTAAGCGTTTTTGATTAATTTTGATTAAGTACTTTATCTATATTCATATTATATGTATAAATGCGTATGTAAGTATGGCTGCTTAGTCCAGAGATATTTAATGAAATATTAAAAAGTGAAAATATGGCCCAGTCAACTGACATATGCATTGCCTGCTATAATAGAGTATATACGAGTACTACACCATAAAGACATCATACATGCCCTTTTTACCCAAGCTTTAAGAAAAATTATAGTTATTAACTTTTAGAATGTAAGTATATCTCGATAGCGACTGTCGACAGAGGAAGGGTAATGATAATGTCCTCCTGACCGATTCCGGCCACGGCGGCCAATCTCATTAAGACTAGCCAACTGCGCAGGAGATATTATAGTGCACAAGTGTACGCGCAGACACAACGTGCACTCTCTTTTCATGTCACTCTCATACTCCGGTGGGACGACTACTCGACACGACCGGTGAGAGTTAAGGTGCAAGACCGACGTGTTTAGGTGTTCTCCGAGGCACGGGGGTGAAACACCGCGAACTTCCCACTGGCTGTTACTGAGGCTTACTATACAGAAAGACTCAATAACTAAACTTGGTTCGACCCAGGACTCGAACCTAGGACCTCCGGGTATGCAGTCGTACATGCTAGCTACTACCTCACCGAGGCAATTAAAAGAGAAACGGTAATGACTAATGAGAAATACCTCACTCAAGTTTGACATTTCTATGTATACTACCCGTGTCAAATAACTGAAACTATTGTCCTATATACTATGCGAATTAATACGAAACAGTAGTAACTACGATATAGAAAATGACGATGATGCAATATCCGTATTAATACTTTAAATGTGAAAATTTGTGAGTATGTATGGATATTTGTAACTCAATCACGCCAAAACGGCTGAACGGATCTGGATGAAGTTTGGCACAGAGATAGATTATAGTCTGGAATAACACATATGCTATTTTTTATCCGGGAAAAATGTACGGTTCCCGTGCGATAGGTTTGTTTTTGTTTACAAAATACTATTCACCTATGTAATTTTGAGATTATGCTCTTAGTTTATATATTATTTTATATTATATTAATTAAATATAAATGTTACTTTGTTATTTTCTCAATAATTTTAAATCCTCTAAGAAAATGTAGACCTAAAAGGTCAACATATTTCGTAATTTATATCGTTTATGAGAAGATGCCTAAGAATAAAGAACTGGTTTTTAAAGGATGTTTGAAGTGACCTCTTATAAAAAAATTATTGTAAATTCCTGAGTACCGAAGATACCGGATTATTTATAGCAAACACTTAAAAAAAACCGGCTTCCAGGCACTCAAATGTAAAAAATTACTAAACGGAGGTTTTCATTTAGAATAGATACCTAATCAGATATTTTCGAAGTCGGTGCCAGCCGATGCAAAGCAAATCTAATATATTTCGATACGTAAAATTTACCTATTAGATATTCATATCTTAAAATATTGTAGGCTTAAGCGTAATTTGTTTAAAAAAATAATTTATTTGTTGATTTAAAAAAAACTGGTCAAACGATTTCGATAAAATTTATATGGGACATATACCCTGGAAAGTATACCCTTTGAAACAAAGAAAAAAAAAATCCAAATCGGTTCAGGCGTCTTCGAGTAATCGGTGAACATCCATAAAAAAAAATAGATTCCGACGAATTGAGAACTTCCTCCTTTTTTTGGGAAGTCGGTTAAAAAAATTGAGTTTAAATGAATAAATATAAATGTTTAAACTAAGATTTTATGCAGACAAGAAAAAAAAACTCAACTTACTAATAGTTTTACAAATTTTTATTGTAATCAATTTTATTTGTATTAACATTAATTATAATTTCTTGATTAATTTGAATGTTTATTGATTTTTCTTCTCTCATGCAAGAGTCAAGATTAATTCCATGAGGTTTTTTTTATTTCAGTACTTTAAGTAGTTGCAGTTTAGTTGGTACACTGTAGAAAGGAACTGGTATCCCTCATTCTATAAAGTACAATCAACAGAAAAATAAATATTAAAGCTGATTATTTTTATCCTAAAACTATACTTAGTACAGTTGTTCTAATTTCAAATAGTGAGAATAACTGAGATGAACAAAAATCCTAACAATCTTCAAATACGTACTACTAAATATATTTTCCTCATATCAGGGAAACTTGTATGAGCTTTTATTAAGGTTTTAATACTCAATTCATATTTAGTGTTGCTTTTTAATTTATTCGCACTTTATAATTTCTATGTTAATATCGTTGTAAGAATACTTCGAATGAAAATATTACAAGGTGCTGGCCTTTTATTCCACTTAAATAAATACAAAGAGAAATATTATTTAGCGTAAGAATTAAATTACCTAAAAGGACTTAAAACGGATAGAAAATAACATATCATCAGAATAATTATAAATTATAAAACTTACTAACTGAATCAGTAATTATTGCAAATTGCAACTATATGACTAAAGAAAGAGTAAAGCTGAGGCGGACAATATCGTTGCAATAGGTTTAATTATAAAACTTACTAACTGAATCAGTAATTATTGCAAATTGCAACTATATGACAAAAGAAAGAGTAAAGCTGAGGCGGACAATATCATTAGCATTAGGTTTAATTTTTTTTATAATTGCAGATAACATTAAAAACATAAAACTCTTGTGGCATGTTATATATCTATATGTCATATTATTTCAGGGAAAATGTGTTCTCTCATCGGTTTGGTGGAAGCAATAGTTCCAGTTATTTACACACCTATGTACAGCAAAATGTATTCCGCCACCTATGGAAGTTTACCTGGAGCCTTTTATATACTCGGTGGAGCAATGACTGTGCCAGCGATATTTATATTTTTGTAAGTGAAATTGAAAAATTACTAAGTAACTACTAACAGAAGTCAAGAAAAATATAAGAAGAAGAAGAGTCAAAAAGTAATAGTGGAACCCTTATAATTTTGCCATTTGCCTCCTGTTTGTCCAACTGTGTATCCGATTTTTTACGAGTAGGTTGTCTGTCTGTCCGTATTTCATAAACATTTTATTCGGATTCTTTTGGTATTAAATGAAAGTTAGGCATATTATTAAGAAAAAAATACTCGTGACACTTCATACATGTAACCATGTGGGATACCTTTAAGTAGGTCTTTAATAAAGAGATATAGAAAGATTTTCGTATAAATCTATACTTTTAAAACCTTCTTAAATTCAAAGGAAAAATAAAGATTGTTTCCAATGGATAGATCATACTTATCCACACATACCATCCAGGCCGTACAGTATCTCAACACTAGACATAAATGAAGAAAGTGCATGTATATGCTTAAGAATTTATTAAAATTAATAAATAATTCTGTTCGATACGTCAATATTGTATTAATATGTATCATTGATAATATTATTAAAAATAGATAATATAGTAGGTACCTTTTAAATTTTCGCAGTTTATATGCCGCAAAGTTGATTTTGGTATATCAAGTTATAAGTACCAAGTATTGAATTAAAAAAATAAGTTTCAATTCAATTTTCTTAATGGCATCAAAGCGTGCTAGATGAATAATAAAATAACATTGTCATAATGACGATATGATTAATATACATATCAATTTCAGATATATTTACTACTTACATCGCAAACAGCAAAAAGATGTCGTGAAAAATCCTCAGTCGAAGGAAGAATATGCTCACGAAAATGCGCTAACTGTGCTATAAAGATAAAATAACTAAAAAAAATCCACATACATACTTTAATATTATAAATGTGAAAGTGTGTTCGTTTGTTCTTCTTTCACGTCGAAATGGATTGGTGGATTGCGGTAATTTTTTGTGTGCAGATAGTCACAGAGCTGGAGAGTGACATATATCTTTTACCGTCGAAGATTATCTCATTCCCAGGGGAAACACGTTATAAAACAACCCACCCCCAACTCATATATAAAACGTACATAATATACATATTTACAAACTTTTATATTTAGTAAGTTAGTTTTATAAGTTCTACTTAGGTATAATAAAAAAATATTATTATAAAAATTAACAAAAATAGCGGGTTCATTAGGAGGGTTATTATTAATAGAAATATTTTACATTATTTTTTTATTTATTAAATTTGACTTCAGCTCCATCTCTGTCATTCAAAATATTATGTTAATAGCTGTGGCTGTGAGTTCATCCACGTGGATGTCAGAAAAACAAAAATATGTCGCGTAGAAAGGATTAGGTACCACAACCTTCATTGAATAGGGAGCGTCCACGTCGTTGTCCGTGATGACATCGTAATTTTTTTAGTGAGAAGTGCTGCTCTTACTTGTCGTTAAAAAATGCTCCTTTGTAAACGATATTTTATCAATTATACAACTTTTAACTCCAATAAAGCACGTACAAAATATTTTCTTTTCTTTTTATTCAAACTAATATAATAAATGACATTAAAACTGAATAAATACATAGGTATACAATACACATTATCAAATTAATATTTTTTTAAACAAGCCAAAATAATCTTAACCTATAAAAATTTTATTGTAAGGAAAATTAATAAAACTTTATTGCAAGTAGCTTTAATTTCCAATCTTAGAACTTTAGAGCTTATAACATATTATTGTAATCCTGCAGCACCTCTAGTTCTTTTATCTCCAATATAGCATGCTACGTACAAAATATTTTCTTTTATTTTTATTCAAACTTAAATAAATACTTAAATAAATATGTTGAAAATTCAAAATTCAAAATATTTTATTCAGCATTAAATTATTACAATACTTTACTGAACGTCATGAGTCTACTACCAGTTCGGAAAGAAAAAGACTCAGACCTAAGAAGAACTGGCGAAAGAAACTCAGCGGGACTAATCTTAACTCGTTATCTTTTTTTAAAGTAAAATTATGATTTACAATATTTCTATCAAGAAGTAGCCTGGAGGCGATCATTTAATTCCCAAGGTGTGCCATCTTCTATAAAATCATTTATTGTATAATTGCCTTTACCACACAAACTTTCTTAAACCTTTTTTTTTGAATTTGGCGACAGAAGCCTTTTGAACATTTTCTGGGTTCCTGTTGTACAAGCGTATACATTGTCCATAAAAAGAATTACTGACTCTTTGTAGACGAGTCACAGGCATTACAAGTTTGATTTTGCTCCTAGTATTAATGTTATGCATGTCACACTTCTTGGGAAATTCGTGTATATTTTTACAGACATACATAACATTGTCATACACGTACTGAGAAGCAACAGTCAATATTTTTATTTCTTTAAACTTATCTCTTAATGACACTCTAGGATCTAAACTATAAGGGTATTTCTCAGCGCCTTAAATTTTAGATTCCTGGAGGTTTTTCTCCGTAACTAACTAATAAAACGGTCTGAAATATATTTTTTAATGTACCTTAGACTATTATCTAACTTGGACCAATTCCGTTTGTATAATAATAGCATTCTAAACATATAAAAAAATCGTTTGAAACTCGTTATTCTGATTCATATGACGTGTCCGTTCCCCATTTTTTGAACAAAATTATAAATAACGCGTTATCTTATTGAAAAAACAATATAAATTATAATCACATTGAAAGAAGATTAGTTATCTTGTAACAAAAAAAAATTACTTATATCTACGTTAGTTTACTTATTATAAATAAAGAAATAAAAGATGTCCAGCATAAAATTCTGATTAATATGGCGCGCGCTTGACTCGATCGTAATCGGCGAAATACAAAAAGTGAAACCATCACTACCCGCATGGGGGGTAGTCTGTTGTGCGACGAATGGGCCCGAAGGTAGACGTTCGGCCAGGTCAGCGTCGATCAGGCGATACAAGAGTAAGTATTTGATTCATATGTTCTTGATTCAGGTGGGTTTCTGATTAATATGTCTAGTTTACAAATTATGTTACAGAGTTTTAAAACTTGAATCTATGCCCCAAAAAATACGTTTGAGTTATAGATTTTTGTGGTTAAATGCGAATACCGATGTAAATATATGTTACGGGTAATCGAAGATTTTAGGTAAAGTTTTGATTTATCTGGGTCTGATTCATGTGGTCAAAAACCCATATGAATCACAAAGTGGTACATTTTGGTTAAGTTATTTATCATAAAATCATCATTAAGATCAGGTCCCGAGCATCACGACACCGCGACTGCGACACAGCAAAAGAAAAATGATATAATATATTATAATTATAGGATGTCACATAGACGGATGCAGTGCAAATAGCCATAGCTATGCTGATGATAAGGTGCTGCTCAGTCCATCAATTAAATTTTTGCAGAGACTCCTTTATATTTGTGAAAAATATATTAAAAGTCATGGTTTAGTTTACAATAGCAAAAAATCAGTTACTATGGTATTTGATTATAAAAATGGATCATGCTATGTACCTGACGTTGTTCTAAATAATGTTAAGCTTCATTGTGTTATAAAACTTAAATACCTTGGACATGTAGTAAATAAAATGTTAACAGATGAGGACGACATAGAGACGGAACGTAGAGCATTGCCGATGCGTTGAAAAATGTTGGCCCGTAGTTTTACTGCGTGTACAGAACCAGATTAAAACTACACTCTTTAAGTCCTATTATCACGTACACGTTTTCAATATTTCTTCTGTTCTTTTCAAATGTTTAGGCTACCTAGATATTATTGTGCGTCGTGGATGTTCTACGAGGCACACACTGATGATTTTATTACTGTCATAACAAAGAGGATCTGAAGAAGAGAGCATGTCTGAGATAGAGGATAAATGACAGCACTAATTCTATCATGAAAAGTGTAGAAGATTTTGGGCAAAATTTCTCCAGACACAGATCAAAGGATTTTTCATATTATGTTTTAGTTTAAATATTTAATTTTATTTATTGTTCTTAATGTAGGAAACCTTTGTATTTATTTTATTTAGTTTATAATTTAATTTTAGTTTGATTTACCTACTTTTCAAATTGTATGGAAAAGTGTTCCGAAGTAAAGATTTATTATTTATTCGTGATTTATTAAAGGTAAATTATAAAATTCATAAATAATAAATAGGTACTACTGATAGGATTTGGCAAAAGTTTTACGACCGGCAGCCTGCCTGACGTCAACTGTATTTGTTAGTATATCTACCAGCAATGATCAGATACTGCAGATTTCTGAGTTTCTACATACAGTTAGTAGGTTGAGTTAACTAATACTAAAGTATAATATACAGGATATGATGATATCCGACGAGATTTCGTCGAACCCAATCTTAAATTTGCTCCAAGAATTGTTCGTTTATACTGCGATAACTACTGAACCGATCGGATTTATACTCATACCATAAGATGCAGTGTGTGTTCGGAGAAGGTTTTAGTATATGATATGTTGGTGATTAATGAATAATTTTTTGTGGGTACAGTATAAATAAAAAATATTTTTTTTTACTATTTTATAAGCCCACAAGCAAAAAAGTAATAATAATTTTTAAGATCTTAAAAATTAAGATTATATTTAAGACTAATAAATACCATGAGCCGAAAATTGCACGTAGAATAGATTAATAGAAATTCTTGTGAGAGATTTACAGGTATACAATATAACCTAGTGTATTTCATGTTTTGTTGAAAATATCGCCTAATGGATTTTGAAAGCAATTACTTTAATAACGCACTAAATGAAATGATGATATATTTCTTAATAAACACAAAACAAAAACGCATAAAATAAAATAGTAATAACTTTAAATTAACACATTATATATTGAAAATAATAGATTATTTTTTCTGTAAATACAAAATTACTTAGAGGTAGCTACTTTTTTAACAAAACTATCTTTTGGGATTAGTTCGCGGATGTATTTTGATTTCCGGTTCCCCAACGTTTCGAATGCTTTACAGCAATTGAAACGTTGGGAACCGGAAATGCGAATCCGAATGCTTTACAGCAATCATGATCACGGGAGAGACTTTTGTTAAAAATGTCAAATATTCGCGTAAATCTAAGAAAGTATAATGAGGTATTTACATTTTGACGCTGAGTGACTTATAGTGTAATGATTTTATAAGAGCCTAATAATAACAAAAAATGATTAGTGTTTTGATCTTAAGTTATATTAAAATGATATATTTTTTAAATATTGCATATTTTTTATGTGAACAATAAAGTTTTTATGTAAACAGTAAAGTAAAAAAAACGAACAAACACTTCTTAATGTGACCGCTGAGAGAACATAAAACGTGAGTTTAGAGTTATATTATTCTATAGTCTCGTTTTTTCATTATATTTTTTTATGATTTTGTGCTTTACACGTGAGATATATACATATATTTTTGTTTTGCTTCCACCGATTGAAATGCAATTAAGGTTTGTTTTTAGTTCAGAATTTTACTTTTATTTAAGTTGCAGAAATCGCTTTGTAAGCTTTTAAATAGACGGATTGACAAAAATTGAAAACAACGTTATTTTCTTACTTTTGTAATTTTTTCGAAAAATATTTAGTGATTACTTCCCCGTTATAGTTTTAATTTTTATATAGATTTTGATCTGTTTATAAAATTATTCGGAACTAGCGGAATATGATGAAAAAAAAGAAAAGGATGAAAAGTAACCTGTTGTTTGACCTGCAATATAAGGTGTTGTGTACTAAGCTGTATAAGTTACTATAGTTTTTTAACTATCCCACGGGCACTCTTTAATTTTCCGGGAGGAAAAGTATCTAAGATGTTTCCCGGGGATATAAGGTACCAGCATGCAAAATTTCATTTAAATCGGTCCAATAGATTCGGAGATTAGCCCGTACAAACAGACAAACAGACAGTTCTATTTATCTTCTTACATCCCCCGGACTTGGTTTTTAGCATTTTTTCTATGTACAGACATTCGACCTCTACAGTTTGATTATAGTATAGATAAGAAGTAAACAAGTTAGAAAGAAAAATTAACAAAATCTTCATAATAAGAAATGGCTCGAGATTATTCCATACGATAAAAACTATCAGATAGGTAGTATAAATATCAAATAAAAATAACAATAAAAAATAACTCTTGAAAAATATTTTCGCTCACGAATGTAAAGGTATTTTTAAACTAAACAAATAAAATATTGCTTATCACACTGAAACCGTCCATAAGTAGAGATATAAAATTTTAAAACACATGAGATTTTAAATCTTTGTAAATAATATTTGTAAAGTAAAATATGATACCACAGTATCTTATTAACTTAATATTATTATCAAACGTAAACAATTTAATCAAAAGTTCATTATTCTAATACTACTATATAAAAATAAAAAAAAAATATGTATAATATACTTGTTTGAGATAATAATATGGAAAAATAGATAAAAATAATTCACTCCACCTTTCATTTAGGGTCATCGTATGATATATAATTTAAAAGGCACGTTAAAAAGCGCTAACTAACTTCCCATAAACGGTAAGGTGCGAGTATTTGCAGTTGTTCAAACATTTACACCTGTCCTATATTTTACTCGAGGCGAGCGAAACAATGTTATGTGATGCGTAACTCAAGGTGCTCAGATAATAGGCTACGAGTTATTAAAAGGGTCGTCGAGTATAGTAAGACCCTGTTATCGTAGCAAGCGAGATGCGAACGGCTCGCTCCGATCGCGCTCTCTCTTATCGCGCTTGCTTTTACAACCTGACATTAACAAGTCTCGTTTTTGGAAACGACAGTCTGAAAACTACGGTTTGAGTAGTCATTATCGAGCGCCGACGCCGCAAGTCAACCGATGTTCGTGGCTCAAATAACAAACAGTGACTTTTACTAACTCTCACTTTTGCCATCACTTAATATGAGTGCTAGCACAGTTAACATCTGTGGTTCGAGCGACTTTACTAAGTCGAATATACGGCTGACAGATGACGGAGAAAATAAAACAGTACGCGAAAAATGTAAGAGTGCATTGAGACGATTGAAGAAAATTTTTAGTGAAACCACTGTAGAGCCATGTCTTTTTGTTTACATGTTGTGTACGGCGTTATCGTCATTGGCAGTACAAAATATGCATTTAGAAAAATCTTGCCGCGTGAATTTTCAATTCGGTGACGAGATATGCGATCGTATTAGAGATAGAAACACGACTGGACTTGAAAAGCAACTAAACCAGGTGCAGTCCTTAGTAGCTAATGTAGTGGCTTGGAAGTTCCCTCTACAGACTAGTATTCCCGCTGTGATGGTGCTTTTTGTTGGCGCGTGGAGCGATCGGACAAAGAAAAGAAAAATATTTATTTTAACTCCATTCATTGGTGAAATTATCGCGAATATTGGACTATTATTTGCGACGTACTATTTTTACGAATTATCACTGACCGAGACCGCTTTAATAGAAGCATTACCGGCAGCGTTTAGTGGAAGTTATATTATAATTTTTATGGGAATGTACAGTTTTATGGCAGATAGGACCACAGTGGAAAGCAGGACATTTCGTTTGGGACTTGTTACTATTTGTGTAAGTTTAGGAACACCTACGGGAACTGCTTTGAGTGGTATTATTCTGAAAACTCTTGGTTATTACGGAGTATTTACTGTGTTAATTATTTTGTACTCTGTTACATTTATATTTGGTTGTCTACGACTGGAAGACGTTTTACCTCCTGAAGAAAATAGGAATACAGTGAATCAAAATAATCAGATTAAAAATGTTCTACAAGATGTGTTTGGATTGGTCGCTAAGACGATTTTAGTTGTTGTGAGACCACGTGCATTTGGGTTAAGAAATGAGATATTGTCAGTCATCATCCTATACATTCTTATGGTTGGACCGTTATACGGTGAGTAATGCAGTAAGTAAGAGTAAACATGATTTATTAGCTTTAGGTTAGTAAAGTAAACTTGTTCTTGACTAAGGTCACTAATGTTACGTGATTTAGATAAAAGCTTAACGATCTGGTTCAAGTTCAATATTATTTTTTGCTCTTAGCTTGGTTTATGTGTTTATTTTTATAATAGGTATAGGCTGTCTAGTACTAGTAAATACTCCTCTTAATCTAGTTTACACCTGTACTATAAGAAAAGCTTCACCGAATTCTACCCAGAAGTCATGAGCATCCAAACAGATGTAATATAAAACAATGTTAATAGACAAATACATAAAAAATGTTGTTCTGATTTCTGTCTTTTTCAAAATATATTTTTTAACATAATTTTTTGAATAACTCGAATCTGGGAGAGAATGGTTTTTTTTTAATTCTTCCTATTGTAGTTGTACTTTTGAGTGAAATTGAATGAAGGTAAATTATATCTTGGGGGCTTAGAAGATGACAATCTTAAATAATTGAAAAATCGAAAAAGAAATATGGAAATGACATATTACGATTAAATTTGTCATTTCAAAATATTTTTTTATTTCTATTCTTCAAAGGTTGTAGAATGTTATCTCGTCTAAATCCCCTAGTTTTATTGATCTACCTGTGAGGTAATTGTGGGCAATAAAGTATTAATCATACTACTTTGAACCCGTTATAATTTTACTGTGTACGTAATGCACGCATGTGATATAATTTAAATAATTATCATATTATGACGTATGTGACTAATGTTTAAGCTTAGGTCAAAGACCTGCGATTAGTTAAGAAACCGGATTAAATGTATAAGAACATTATTTATATAATTCCAAATTTATATGACAACTAGCATTGTCCGCGGCTGCACCCGCGTTCAGATTACCAAAAACCAAATTCTTAGGTTTTACATATTAGTATACTCTTACAATGCAGTTTTTGTATTTTTTCTCAGAAATGAGATATTTTCCCGCAGTAAAAAGTATCCTATATGTTGACCCGGGTAACCAGCTATCATCATACTAATTTTCATCAAAATCTGTCCAGTGGTTTTCTTGCGATGCGGTAACAGACAGACAGACAGACAGACAAAAATTCTAAAAACTATAGATTCGGACTCTGTATCGATAATAATGTCTATTTCAATTAGATTTTCCAAAAAATATTTAATGTAAAGATTCGACTTAGTTACAATTTTATTATATGTATAGAAAAGTAACGTCTGTAATATCCTTGCCTCATCCTTCGAATTTGTACAATCTAATCTATGTATAATTTATGCACGTCTTTTGGTACATATATCATTCGCAAATAGATTCGGATTTTAAACTTTACACCATACACAAATCAGTCTACTTAAATAAAAATATACATAACACAATATAATTCTACTATGTGAATGACTTTTTCTTGTATATAAAAATAATTTTATCGAGAGACTTTCATATTTATTGTTTTACACGAACTGGTCATATTGGTAAAACCAACTTGTTCATTTTTATAGACTTTCGGATTACTAAATTCTGGCGAAATTGCGAAGCGACAAGGGATTTAACTAACTGAAAAAGTGACACAGCAAAACCTATGTCCTAGTTAGAGTATTTTTTAGCTAAAAATATTTTTTTATATTGTAGAGAACTCACTTGAAGAGGTATTATTTGTACAATTAAATTTTTTTTTCAAATTTTTGTCAAAATAGTTCTAAAACAGAAAATATTGTTGATTTAATCGATTTCGTGAATCGAACGTTAATTTAATATGAACTCTCAAATTTTTTTCATTTTTATTGACACTAAAATTTTCCTATTTTTAAACCAGTAATGTGTTAACATGTTCAAGATGGCAATTAGAACTAAGATATCCGTATAATGAAATATTGTAAGAACAACAGTTATAGCTAATAAAAAGTTATGAAAAAAAAACTAATTGAATGTGAACTATTTTGTTCTCATGATTCCTATTGCTCATTAACGTCAGAATAATCTAATATTATGTATGATTGGATTTAGGCCGTTCCACTCAAACGATTCAGGTAAAGCATTATTTAACACGCTACGTCGATTGCCTGAGTTGCCATTCTTACCATGAAAATGGACAAAAAAATTCACCCACTTAATAAAATTAAAAAGCGCCATAATTTAATTATTTTAATTTTAGCATAAATTAATTAATTTAAATATCTAATTTAACGACAACAATTATTATACAATACTAGCGGCTCTCCCTAGCTTCGTTTGGGTTTGCCTCTAGAAAAACGAAAACAAAACTATCCCACGGGAACCGTATATTTTTGCGGCATAATTTTTTTTTTATTTAGGCATTATTTTATGTACTATTCCAGACTATAATCTATCTCTCAGCCGTTCTGGCTTGATTGAGTAACAAACATCCAAACTCACATCTAAACTTTCACATTTATAATATTAGTAAGATTAACATTTTCTAATAATGAAAATTGTTCGCCTTAATATAAGAAACGAAGCTAGTTACGTTGGACATTGTTTGTTCTCATACAAACAAATGGAATTCCTTGCAATCTTCTTACAATACAAGGATTTTCAACGTCTTGTTTTTTTTCCGAATAGGTTTTAGTACGCGTATTACTTACTCGAGTTCTAGATAATAATGATATCAACTTCCATCAAAATCTATAGGATTTCTATATATTTTCTTTTAAAGGAAGTTTTCTTTTTGTATAGAGATATTCCAAAAAATAAAGATATCGTGTTAAAAGACAAAAATTCTAAAAAGTATAGATTCGGCCTCTGTGTCTATAATAATGCCTGTTTCAATAAGATTTTCCAAAAAATATTTAATTTACAGATTCATATTAGTTAGAATTTTATTATATGTATAGATTAGATGGTAGCTATTATTTAGTGTAAGTAGATCTCATTTTATAGGTAAAATATGTAACACAAGTATATTAATTATAATTTATTGAAGCGGAGCCCTTAGTCTACTACTACTAGAGTCAGACTCGCACATGTCTGTGTTTCACTAAATAAAATTAATTAAAAAAACTTTGTTTTCCATCATTTAATTTACCTTAACCTTGAATTATAATGTGGTATCGCATTTACGTAACTAGGTTACATTATCTACATTTTTGAATTATAAACGCTTAAAAAACATTATAACACAGTAGTTAATATTTTGTTTTTGGAAACAACATAGATTTTAGTTAACTCTTAATTTACGTTGAACATACATCCATACTAATATTATAAATGTGAAAGTGTGTTTGTTTATTTGTCCTTCTTTCAAGTCGATACGCAGGGATTATCTCATTCCCACGAAAAAACACGATATAATACAATCCAAAAAAATGTTTATGATAAGAATTACTTGAAACTTGGTATTAATGCTCTTCAATAAAATTAAATAAATACTTACGTGTTTTAGCATTTTTCGAAATTCATCCTATAAGGGGGTAAAATAAGGGATGAAAGTTTGTATGAAACTACCTTTTTAGAGATTTTTTGTAGTTTTAGCGCGAGCGAAGCCGCGGGTTCTGCTAGTAATATTATAACTTTTGTTTAACTTCGAGAAAATTATAGGATCAAAATAATAATGGAAATTCTCAAACTTAACATGATATTAACATATGCTAATTATAAAACAAAACCTAACTTATGGAAACATGTATGATTAATGTTAGGGCTCGGAATTAGATAATTCGGTCCAGTAGTTTAGGAGTTATTGTAAGATCAGGGAAATAAGTACAAACATACAGGAACCTTTCAAAGAAAATAAAAAAGTGATAATACTGTCTCCTTAATAATCACAGAAGCCAAGAATGCAGTAGACAATAATTGTGTGACCGCCGACTGTCTACTACGAATAGTATTCGAACAATAAAAACACTCGTGAGTTTTATGATACTCTAGCTCTTACTAGTGATGTTACGTGAGTCGTTTAAAATATTCTGGATAAAGACTGGAATATTTATATTTTAAGTTTGTTATTTGAAATGACGATGTATGCGGTAACCTACTACTAACTAACTACTCTTTTATAAGTAAAATTAATATTTCTTTTTAGAGAGAAAATATCTAAAACTACAGAAACGATTTCTTTGAGTAATATTCAGATGTATTATCCGTTCTAATCAAAATCTTGCTATTTCTAATTTGACACATAAAACTCGAATGTACATTATACATACATACATACATACATATATAGGTATGTTTCTCACAACTCAGGATTCATGTTTACAATCTGTCATCTTAGATGAGGCCTATCAAAATATAATTATAAAATATTAGCAATTTTAATTATGCAATATCCATTTATTTTGTATGTGAACAAAGCGTGGCTAAAATCTATATTTGTTATTTAACTTTAAATATATGCCCCTTTCCATCGAGCAATCAAGGCCTGTTGCTTAATAAATGCCAACCAGATTCTACTCGGTCACATTGCAACCAATTAGCTACTAATAATGAATCTGTTTATGGATACAATCAAATGATATAGGCTCCGTAATATGAATGAACAATTGACTTTGATTCCAAAAAATTTTTTCTCAATTGTCTTGTTTAAGTCCCTTTAGGATAACTATTTTTTTAAATGTTTTACATCTATCACTATCAACTATGTACCTAATATTTTTTCAGCTTTTAATACTGCCTTCGTACCAATTGTAATGATGTTTTTATTGATATTTAATGATAATATTAATTATTTCAATATAATATGATAATGAATAAATGTATGTATATATGTATACCATATTAATTTCCAAATAAAATATTAGGCTCCTGAATTTATTCCTTCTTATTAATTAATAATATGTTCGTTATCTATTTAATATTTTCCCCTTTCGTATTAAAACGACACTATAGTTAAACTCCCATATAGTATCTCATTACCAATAGTAAAAAAAGTACACAAGATAAAGTCTTTTGACCCCAACTCGCCCCAGATACTGGCAGACTAGGCTAAAAATACATCCTAAGTGTACTCCATAAAGGATACCAAAGATACGTAT